TTTTCGGGATCGGACGAAATATCCTTTTTTCATTCTTTAAACGAAATCCCATTTGTCGTTCGAAATCACTTATAGAACGCGAACGTTCTCGTGAATTCAATTCCTCGAAATATCTTTGACAATGCTCGCAGGAACACGAAGGATTCTTGGAAGGTCCTATATGATGGCCTGGCTTTCGAAATGCGTTCACCACTGCACCGAATATAGAGGCTTTCAAAATATGGTCGGTTCTTTCACCCTGAGACGTCATAAATGGAGAAGTAACTCTCGAAGGTACTTTTGATGGAAGAGGGGAAGGAGTCTTGGAACCGAATAAGCCGATTTGATCACGAAAAGTATACAGATGTGGAATACTGTCGCTATGCGTGGAATCAGAATGATACTGTTGCGAATTCTTTTGCTTTGAAAGTTCTTTTTCCATTATACTTGCGTTCCTTTCCCCATCTTCAGCGATAGATTTACTCGCTCTTCGAAAGGACGAAGTTTTTTTAATTCCTTCTTGATTTTCCTCGCCAGACATAAAACTCCACCCAATGGCACCACTCTCATCAGATTCCTCGTCACTGTCACCCGACGACCATCCTACCTCGTGTTTTTTTAAATATTCTCTCATCTTTCGATTCCGTAACAAATATTTACGCTCGACTTGCGGTGAACGCCAATGCTTCTCTTTGTCCTCTGCCTTGGCCCATATTTCCTCCATTTTGCGTATCCTTTCACGATCGGTGCTACTAGCATACTCGAAACTATCACAACGGGTTAAGTCTGTTTTAGTGTTTATCAAAGATTCTATGTCAGACAATGTATCTTTGGCCGAGGTAGCAATAGTCGAATCATAATCGAATGGAATACCCACATTGGAAGACGCAGCAGACCAAGGCACCGAATCGGGATCTCTTAAAGCACTGTAAGAACTAAATTGCGAAGGATAAAGTGAGCTGAAAACGTCGTCACTATCGTAACCTTTTGAACTGGCTATAGAGGGCATTCTCATCGGTGCGTGTTTAAAACTGTCACATCGTCGTTCCGTGGCACGTTTCAGAAAAGCCTTGTCATCTTGAAATCCCCTGGGCAAAACGTTACTCCCTACCTGAGTATGCGTCACTTTCACGTCTGGATTTTCGAACACGGTCATAGGAGTTTCGCATTCGTTTTCACTCGATGTATCGACATTCTCGTCGTCATCAGACCCGGTGCAATACACGTCGATATGCACGGTTCGTGATTTCTTCTTCGCACTGTCATCTTTCGTCGAGGAATCAGACTTTTCCGATTCCGCTGAAGGACCGATGCTTGTGGTCTCTGAAGCTGTGGTTGGCGATCGACTTTCTGGCTAAAATCAGATATTTACGATATAAAAATGTTCATTTATCGCATAGAAATAAAATTTAGTCGATCTACAATACATCTTAAGTCGAAAAATTTAGGATCAATCAATGAAAAAGATCATCATATTCCTAGTTTTTACATGATTACAGTTATTTGAATAAAATTAGTTGATAATAAAAATAAACAATAAATACTATCTTCTGTAGATTTGAAGAATTATCTTTTATAAGTCTCTGGCTGAATTTTAACAACTTACTTAGAATTTAGAATTAAGAAGTTTCGACTAAGACTTATTGTAAACTAAAGAAAACAATTTACCTTCTTTTTCTTCTGCTCGTCCAATGAACGGAGACCAGTAGCAGCTCTCCTTCTCACTTTGTTTTTATCAGCGACTATCGACGAAAATTCTCGGGATTCTATATCCGTCGTTTGCGAAGATGCATCTTTGCTGATCGTGGTCGATTTTGTTGTAACTTCCTCTTTTACGCTACTGCAAAAATGCGTTCCATGTGCACTGGAAGCGCCATCTTCCGGGCAGTCCTCGCAAACTTCCGGTACTGTGGTGAATTGCTGCCGCGAGAAAACATACGCCGAGGGATGGCGCCAAGAATTGTCATACGAATGTTTGACAGTTTCATTGCTGGTTATTTTGCTGTAGTTTTCCCCTTTTGAACCATCTGCACTGTCCACAGCGGACAATACAATACTGCACGTGCTCCTGCATCGACGATTATATTGTTGGGAAGGTCGACGAACAGGCAAACTAGAGTACGAATTAGGTGAAAATCGCTCACTGTTGTAGCCTGAATCCGAGAAGTTCGCGCCACGTCCTCTAGATGGCGTATGCTCATCATTTCCAGACGGTCCTGATCTTGGAATCGTGAAAGATCCTTGCGCGGTTTTTGGTGGTGGTGTCGAAGTGAACAATATGTTTCCTCGCTGAAAGCCAAACGAGCCAGAAGATACGGATGGTCCGGAAGTCGTGATGACTGGAATTGTCGGCGTTGATGGAGACGATTGACTGGTAGTATTCCATCGATATATCATACGAACACCGCCCGAATCCGTGACAGTCGAAGATATACCTACAGGTACTTGACTAGATTCCGAGGTTACCGGTGTACTATGGCGAATCGTAACTTCTGCACGCACCGACCATGGTGGTTGCGTGTTATTCGAATCGCCTTGACGCCCGTACATGTCGCACCTTTTTTTTCAACCTTCTCCACGCTGTTATCCACCGCAAAACATCATCGTCCCGAGCGTTTAATCGATTTCGTTGCGAAGATCCATTCGCAGAACTGTTTTTCGCCTCCCTTGCGAAGAAAATCCGTCGTCGTTCTTTTCTCAGTGTCGTTCCGCTGCACATTCGAACGGTCGATCGATTTCGCGAAAGATGGAAGCACTATTCTACTTGTTTCCGTTGAATTTTATTACATTCAGCTATTCGACGATCCGTTGGCCACTTTTTATTACGTAATTTGTTATAAAAATTGATCGAACGCCCTCGATGCGAACGAAAATATTTTCGGAGAGTATTTCACAAATCCGTACATATATTACATAGTTGCTCGCGGAAAGACGGCAATTCTGCGATACTGCGTCTCCGTCATCTATTTTCAGCATCAGTGTTATACTGTGTTCAAGCGATTTCAGAATCTCTTGTCGTATCGATATTACGTATCGAAATTATAAAATAGACTCTTGTATCGTAGAGGAGTCACTTTTCTTAAGATCCAAGCGCTTCTTTTTATTAATTATTTAAAAAAGATTAATAATAATATCAATTAACTATCACACTCTTGTACGAGCACTTTTCTTTTCAGTTGAATTTATCGAAGTGCACAAATGAATCTGGAATATCGAGTTTAGTTACCATCGAGTTTGCTCGTTTCTCGTAAGGTGACAAACCATACGTTAGAGCAGCGTCCCAAGGTATAATTAGCACAATATAAATTTGGAGCAACGTACAGTCGTACCAAATATACCTGGAACCAGATGAAACTTTTAATACCATTCGCTGTATAAGATTAGCCTCTACTGACAGATACGTCACCCACCACGTCGACGTAACGAAAACGTCCAAAGAAAAAAAAAAAAAAAAAAAATTTAAAAATACTATCCAATTAACCAGTCTGAATAAATGCACGTTTTCTCCTGTCTTTATCTCATTCGACTCCTCGAATAACGAAACAGACTCGATCAAAGTAAAGTGGCTCTCGCCTCCGGACGAACGTATAATTATTCAACGTGCAACATCCTCTATTTCTGTCAGTCCATCCTCTATTCCTTCCGTCTTGGAATTTAAAGTGCTTCACGGAAGAGAGCTTTTCGACGTTCTCTCTGAAAACTAGGAACTCGTTTTTTTTTTTTTTTTTTTTTTTTTTTTT